AGGGCAGAGGGGAGGAAGCCAGAATGCACTGTGGGAATATTCTGTGACTGTATGTCCTAAACTGATACATGTCTGTCTGTGGTTACAGTCTCCCATTTGGTCCCCTAGGGGAGTGTCTACCAAGTGGGAGACCTGCATAAATATGGGCGGGTAGCCCACAGTAAAGCCAGTTCTTGTTTTACCCTCAATGCGGAGCTTAGTCTCGTTATTGGGAGGATTTACTACACACGGTTAGCGACTGATTGCTGGAAACGTAAGCCGCTTGGAGATTATATTTGTTCGGCTGTTAGCAGCGATTTGTGGATTTATTGTTTGGGAGTTTGGAGGACTCGTACGGTTACCGTTCAGGAGACTGGCATATTCCCCTGGCTTCAGTTCGTGTGGTTGAGGTATACACGAATTACTAAAGAGGGGGAGCTCAACTAAACGGCCAGGTACACGGTGACCCCAGAGGCATACCGGCGGCGGTTCCGGGAAATAATTAAGCAATCTGGCGACTCCTACGTGGAGTGGGCATGCCGAGTACACCGCGCAGCAGCCCACTGGATGGCGGGGTGCCAAGCAGTAACTGGGGAAGAGGTGCTGCAGGTGTTTTCTGGAGCACTGCTTTGATAAATTACCTACAGGAGTCAGAGAGTGGGTCCGAGACCGAAAACCCTCCACTCTGCCAGAAGCTGCCCACCTGGCAGATGAATATACGGATGCTCGTAAACTGGACAATGTGGTAACTAAAGTCCCTGCCAGAGTAGAATACAGACCAGCAGCACCTCCAATCACTACCGTCTACCAACCCCCAGGGCACCGCATTCCAACACTACCACCAGCTAACAATTATATTCAGCCATCCTGGTTCAACGCCCGGGATTACTCCCAGCCCATATGGTGTTTTGGATGTAAGCAGTTAGGGCACCAGAGATCAGAATGCCCACTGAACAACGCTAACCAGGCACAGTCGTGGAGAAGACCGGCCGGTGGGAATCAATGCCCACCTCCGCCTGCTGCTCACTGTATCGAGCAGGAGGAATTTTGGGGCATCTTACATGAGGCAGACCCTGTCCAAGCTGCTCACCAGGACAACCGTCAGCAACACCGACAAACTGTCAAGCTGAATGGAAGAGTAGTCAGCGGATTGCGAGATACCGGGACTACTATGACCCTGCTCCAAAAGAACTTGGTCTCGGAACACCAACATACTGGAGACACTGTGGCAGTGAGGGTAGCAGGGGGCGCCGTGTTCCGTCTGCCTGTTGCCGGGTTCATTTGGATTGGGGAGTGGGCGCTAGACACGTTGATGTGGGGGTCATGAAAGATTTGCCCGCTGATGTCCTCCTTGGGAACAATTTGGCCCGTGCTCAGACCCGTGCTACTGGAACTGGCTCGCCTGCTGCTGAGACCCAGGTAAGACTCGCTTCCCCGACTTGTACCCTAGATCAGGTTACCCTAGATCAGGCCCCTTTAAGCTGGGATACCCCAGAGGAGTTTGGGAGGGAACTCTTGCAGACCTGACTCTACAGAAGTACAGGGATAGAGCAGATGCTGGAGAGGAAGGAGTAGATGGGGAACGGAATGAGTGGGTGGGGGACAGGCTGTATAGGATTCCTAAACCTTCCCAGAAAAGTGTTGCCCCTCCACCGACTTGGCAGCTGGTGGTACCTGTGAAATACCGGCAGGAGATTCTGCGGATAGGGCATGTGCCATTAGCTGGACATCTAGGTTCTCGCCGCACAGCCTATAGGATCACCCAGAACTTCTTTTGGCCCAATTTTAATCAGGCTGTGCGGGTATACTGTAGTATGTGTGACACATGTCAACGGGTAGGAAAACAGGGGGACCACCCTACAGCTAGGCTATTGTCTATGCCTATTATAGGAGAACCCTTTTCCCACATTGCCGTTGACATTGTGGGTTCACTGGCCAGGGCTAGTCCATCCGGTAAGAAGTATATTCTCACTGTGGTGGACTATGCCACTTGCTATCCAGAGGCAGTAGCGCTGTCTAATATAGAGTCAGAGACGGTTGCTGATGCCCTGGTCAGGATTTTTACTATGGTTGGGTTCCCTAAGGAGATCCCCTCCAACCAGGGAACTCAGTTTACCGCTGTGCTCACCCAGCAGCTGTGGAAGGTGTGCAGCATCAAACCGCTGCTTAGCTCACCATATCACTCGCAGACTAACAGTCTCTGTGAGCGCTTTAATGGCACCCTCAAGCAGATGCTGAGGACCTTTACGGACACTTGCAGAGACTGGGAGAGGTTCTTGCCTCATCTGTTATTTTCCTACAGAGAGGTGCCCCAGTAATCTACTGGGTTCTCCCCCTTTGAGTTGCTTTATGGGAGAAGGGTCCGCGGACCCCTGGATCTCATTAGAGGCCACTGGGAGGGGGAAACAGAGCAGGAGGGGATCCCCATAGTGCCGTATGTCCTGGAACTCCAGGACTGCATGGAGAAACTGTCTCTGATGGTAAGAGAGAATCTCCAGGCAGCCCAGGGGAGACAGAAGAGGTGGTACGATCGGGGTGCCCGGCTGCGGGTCTTCCAGGTTGGGCAGAAAGTATTGGTGCTCAAGCCTGTGAAGGCGAACAAGATGCAAGCATCTTGGCAGGGCCCGTATAAAGTAGTAGCTCAGGTATGTGATACTACCTACCTTATAGCCAGCTGTGCAGATGAAAGGATTCAGTGATCCTTTCATGTGAACATGCTGAAGGAGTATCAGGAGAGACCCGAGGATGTCGCTGCAGTATGCGCTCCGGCTGCATATGACCCTGAGAATCTACCCCTTCCTGATTTGCTAGAAAGGGACCCCCAGACTGACCTTACTAACCTTGTACAGCTAGGGGACAGGTTAAATCCCACAGAAAAGGCACAGGCAAAGCAGCTGCTGTGGGAGAAGCAGGCAACGTTCTCCCAGGAGCCAGGCTACACTACCCTAGTTGTACATAAGGTAGAGACCCTTGGACAGACCCCCCTGCGACAGCCCTCCTATCGTATCCCTAAAGCAGTCCAAGGAAGGAGATATACAGGAGATGACCTAGCTTGGGGTCATCAAATACTCCAACAGCCCTTGTGCCTCGCCTGTAGTTCTGGTAGCCAAGAAAGATGGGACCACCCGGTTCTGTGTGGACTACAGGCAACTCAATGAGCGGACCACCACTGACGCCTACCCGATGCCCCGGGTAGACAAATTATTAGACCGTATTGTCAGGGTGTGCTATCTGACCACCATAGATCTATGTAAGGGCCAGTGGCAAATCCCCCTTGCCGTGGATACTATCCCCAAGTCAGCATTCATCACCCCGCTTGGCCTGTACCAATTTAAGGTCATGCCCTTCAGGATGAAGAATGCCCCGGCTACCTTCCAGCAGATGGTGGATAGGCTCCTCGATGGCTTCCAGGAATTTGCTTGTGCATACCTGGATGACATTGCGATCTACAGTGGGTTCTGGGAGAAACACCTGGTCCATGTGGGGGTACTGCGGGCCGGTGGCCTGACATTGTAGCCAGAGAAGTGCCAACTAGGCATGGTGGAAGTACAGTATCTGGGTCGCAGAGTGAGGTGTGGGAGCCAGAGACCGGAGCCAGCCAAGGTAGAGGCAGTGGCTAACTGGCCCACACCTACCACTAAGTGTTAGCCTTCTTGGGGACGGCAGGGTACTACAGACGTTTTGTCCCTGACTACAGTACTGTAGCCAAGCCCCTGACTGGCCTGATGAAAAATAATTTGCCAAAGCAGGTCCTGTGGTCTCCAGCTTGTGACGCTGCGTTTCAGGCACTGAAGCAGGCTCTTGTGAATGCCCCTGTCTTGGCTGCCCCAGTCCCTAACAAACGCTTTCTCGTTCATACAGATGCTTCCATGTATGGACTGGGGGCTGTGCTGAGCCAAGTGGGGGAAGATGAAGGAGAGAACCCTGTCGCATATCTCAGCAGAAAGTTACTACCTCAGGAAGTGAGTTATGCGGCAGTGGAGAAAGAATGTTTGGCCCTGGTCTGGGCATTAAAAAAGTTGAGCCCCTATTTATACGGACAGGAATTTTCCCTTGTGACAGACCACAATCCCCTTGTCTGGCTCAACCGGGTCTCAGGAGACAATGGTAGACTGCTGCAGTGGAGTTTAGCCCTACAACCATATAACTTCACCATCAGCTACCGACCCGGTAAGCAGAACAGGAATGCGGATGGATTGTCCTGGCAAACCGACATCCCTACCACCTCCTAGTCCGGTCATCCCCAAGTTGACCTGCCAAAGGGTCAAGTCGGGTCTGCCGGAGTGTCCCACAAGGAGGGAGCCGTGTGACAGATCCATCTGTATGACTGGTGTGGCTGGTTCGTCTTGTTTGCCTCCCTTCGCGGAATTGCCTGTCCGTATGCCCCTATTCGTCTTTTTGGACTTATGCGGAATGAAACTACCGAACGGACGGCCACCCAGAAGAGAAGTGTGCTGCTGGTTAATCTCTTGGCCCCGATTAGAACGTTGTGGTTAACCGCAGACACCTTTCAATTATAACCGAATGCAGGGTGGTCCTCGTTCGTATGCCGACCACGAGGCGGCGGCCATTTTAAAACACGCAAAAGACCAGCAGTGTTCGGCGCAGATTCTATGGAATTATAAACGGACACTTTTTCTATCGAACACCGCTGAAACTACCGACCGCCCTTCTCATTCGTCGAGGCATGCGAACACCGGTCCGTTCGGGAGTTTGGATAATACGAATGGACTTAACCCAGATAGCCATCCCATGGAGTCAATCGCATACCAAAAGACCTGTAAAAGACTTTGACTCCATGGCGATTGAACTGTGCGTATGGGATCTGAGCGCTATTCGGTACGAATATGCACTCAGATCCAGGCTATTTGGGGATACGTTGCACAAATGTAATATGTTCGGTATTTGTACAATTACTTATGTTTATGTATTTTTAATGTTTCATTTAAAATGGCGATTTGCCTCTGTCCTGGGAGATAATTGAATTACTACTCAATTATCTCCAGGGCAGAGGGGAGGAAGCCAGAATGCATTGTGGGAATATTCTGTGACTGTATGTCCTAAACTGATACATGTCTGTCTGTGGTTACAGTCTCCCATTTGGTCCCCTAGGGGAGTGTCCACCAAGTGGGAGACCTGCATAAATACGGGCGGGTAGCCCACAGTAAAGTCAGTTCTTGTTTTACCCCCAATGCGGAGCTTGGTCTCGTTATTGGGGGGATTTACTACCCACGGTTAGCGACTGATTGCTGGAAACTTAAGCCGCTTGGAGATTATATTTGTTCGGCTGTGAGCCGCGATTCATGGACTTATTGTTCAGGAGTTTGAAGGATTCATACGGATACCGTTCGGGAGAATGGCATATTCCCCTGGCTTCAGTTTGTGCGGTTGAGGTATACACAAATTGAGCCTACATTACTAAAGAGGGGGAGCTCAACTAAATGGCGGTTTCACTCCTCTGTGCCAGGGGTGTCTTAACAATTATGTATACATACATTTCTGTTTACCTATTTCTTTGTTTGACTGTGGATTGCTTTTTAAAACAAAATATCCACTCTAAATATCCAAAATGGTTTTTAGAGCAAGTTTTCGTCTCCTGGCATGATCAAAGCTACTGAAGTATGGGTGATCTATGGATGCTGGACTGACACGTGTTTTTGTGAAATAAATCAGAAATGGTTTAAGATCAATGAGGAGATGGAATCCAGAGAACAACAGCAACATAACTACTACACTGAACTTTAGTACTTATTTGTCAGTGGTACATATTCAGATAAGGTCAATTGCAATTAAAATAATGACAACCTATTCTAGAACAGTACACCAGTAAAACGGTTATGTTATGTTATGTTATGTTATATGAAGCAAAGCAATATCCTACAACTAAACTGACAACTTAAAAAGTAACAGAAAATGTAAATTGTGCATCAATTCACATTTATGCTGTTTAAAACATCTTGCTATGTATGTACAATGATTTTAACCTGTCACCAAAAAGTGATTCCTAAATAAGTTTCTCTGTGTCTGTCTGTACAGAACACGGTTTCAAAAATCCACATAAAAGATAATAAATGATGCCTGTGGGTTTATATGTTCTTATTCTGTTTTATAAAGGGATTTATTTTGTGTAGGTTTGGCTATCCTGTATTAAATTACATTGCTCTGTTTTTCCTGTTATGGATGACTTATTAGAAATAAAAACTGTTTTCTATTTTTTTTTTTTGTGAAACCTGTTAAAAGAAAATTGCATCAAGCTCAAAAATAATTCAGTTCTACTAACCTCTTAGTTCACCTGATGTATTTTTGATTACTTTAATAATTGTTCCCTCAGAGACAATGTTTTCTATCTGTCTGTCCACTATCTCAAGACTTGAGAAACGTCCCACAGAGGACAGAAATATTGACACATTTTCTGGTGTATGATTGCAGAATAAAGCTACCAAAATGATCTACAAAGTCCTGTGTGTGCACCTTCTTTGATAATCACAAAGTAAGGCCAGCTGGGAACAGAGAGTGAATTTATATATAATTTGACTTCCATTTGATTGGAGTAAGGCTTTTGTATATAGTAAAGGATTTTTTTTTTTATTAGAACTTCTAAAGTCAATAATCTGCAATAATGGAAATTTAAAAATTGGGCATTTTCAGAAAGTGTGTAGGTATGCTGTGTGCATCACAGTTGGAAGAGGTGTGCCTAGATAAAGTGACTAAAAATGTATTCCAAATGACACTAAATTTGAGCAGTGAGGGTGCAGGGGCATGATCTATAAATGAAAACCACTGCATAACTTCCCCACTCCCACTTTTTGAATGCCATCATATTTACTAAAATAAATGGTATATAAACAGGGCCGGCGCTTCCTATAAGGCGAACTAGGCAGCCGCCTAGGGCGCCATATAGGAGGGG